ATGTGAGTCTGTGTGTGTGTGCGCGCGCGCGCGTATGTGTGCGTATAATATATGTATATGTATATATTTAAAAATAACATGTTCTATTTGTATTCATCACATTTTCTCTTATTATTTCGTAAATATAAATACAATATATACAATTGTAAATATGTAAATGATGCTTGCGTAACATCTTTTGTAATTTCTAGTGCTGTAAAAAATAAATTACGTACGTTACATATTTTTCTCTTAGAAATGTGCAATTTTTATTTGAATGTTTTTTTATTACGATAAGAAACTATTAAAATATTTATAGTAATTATAATTTATTATAATAAATATTAAAATAATTAGTCTGTCTATACACATATTTCTTGTGTCAGATTTTAATCAATGTTTGATTTAAATTTTCTTCATCAAATATTTAAGAGAAAATCTTTAAAAAAGTAAAAACCGGAAATAGTTTTGTTTTCGGAGAAGTTTTAAAGTTATTGATTTTTATATACGATAAGTTGTGATTTTTATTAAATTTACCCTCATTACTTTAATTATGTTAATTATTCTATTTCAACATTTATATTAATATAAAATTTATGTTGATAGATTTTTAGAGAATATGTAATGTATATCGATTGTATTTACAAGTTTGTTAAATACAATATTATTTGCAAATAATTGGACAAATAAATAAGTAGTTGCTAGAAATTGATTGCTACACATTATTCGCGTTTCTGTATTTATAGATGTCTCCTTGTTATACAATAATGTGACTTGCATATAACAACTATCTAGTTTAATATGCCTTCCAAGCCTTCTTTCGATCGTTTCAATACTGACCCTGTTCTGATATTACATCGATCGGCTTATTAATTATATACGAAACGTTTTCTGGGCATATATACGATGTTTTATCGATTTGATCCTAAGGAATGGCAAATGCGTTGGTTGGGAGGATATCTTATTGCATAGTCGAAAACATGAATTTTGGCAATAACACTTTACAAAGTTGTTTCAGCCAAAAAAGAAATCTGAGTAGGGAAGAAACAGAGATGGATACATCAATCGAATTTGGGTAATTGTTCTTCGTGGAACAATGTATGTATATAAGCGAATTATGGATAAAAGTGTAGATTTATAATTTGTTATTATTACTAATTTTCAATAATATAATAATAATATTTGTGAATGATGTTAATAATCCAATCTCTGTTGAATTTTAATGAATCTAGTTTTTTTATATTATACACAACTGTTAGAAAATGTATAAATAAGTTAAATGTGTTACGTACTGGTCATTGTATAAAAAGGAAAACTAATTATTAAATTATAATAATTTCCCCTTAGAAAAGCTTGTATGTAATATAAATATATATAAATTTTGCATCGTTTTTTAAATAAAAAATATATATATAATCACATATAATATAC